CATATGCAGTTAAATGCATCACAACACTCCGTGTTGTGTCACAAAGCGGCAGTTGCCTCATTCAACATGAGCAACGACCGATCGGGGTTTGAAGGCTGGCCCACGAAGGGCTCGAGGCCGCCCCATGTCAAACAGAGCCAGGGGAGAAAACGCAGATGAGCCCCGAGCGGCCCTCGCCCAGTCCGCTCTGAAGCAGATAGGGTCATCTCAACCTCTCATTCGATCCTAACCTCGAGCCATGCCCACAGAATCTCCATCGAGGGGAGGCCAACGGGCCACCCGGGTCGATCTTCGGAACGACCTAGGCTTCTACCGGGTTGCGGGTTAAGGAACAGTGGAATGTCACATGAGGGCTATGCCAACCCCGTCACTAACAACGGACCCAGATTTCACTCAAACGTGCCCGTTAGCGAGCTCACCGAGCGCGTCACTCGAGCCATCGAGGCAAGCGACATTAGCTCAGCCCCTCCGGTTGTGAGAAACCACGGACGGGGTAACGCATGAAAACTCAACCTGACCCCTACCAAGCCCAATGGGGCTTAGGGGCTCAAGATGCCCAACTCCGATCGCGCCTTGGGTCCGCGACTCCAACTCACCCGATCCCTCGCTGCGCCAGACGCCAGGATCCGTGAGTCCATCTTGCTCGATCCCTAAACTGCCTCGGCTGCGCCCGATGCCAGGATCCATGACTCCGGCTCCCCCGATCCCTAAACTGCCTCGGTTGCCCCTGACGCTAGGATCCGCGACTCCGGCTCGCCTGATCCCTAAACTGCCTTGGCTGCGCTCGACGCCAGGATCCGTGAATCCATCTCGCCCGATCCCTAAAACTACCTCGGTTGCGCCCGACGCCAGGATCCGCGACTCCGGCTCGCTCGATCCCTAAAACTGCCTCGGCTACGCCCGACGCCAGGATCTACGACTCGGGCTCACCCGAACCCTAAACTGCCTTGGCTACGCCCAACGCTAGGATCCGCGACTCTAGCTCGCCCGATCTCTAAACTGCCTCGGCTGTGCCCGACGCCAGGATCCACGAGTCCGTCTCGCGCCGATCCTAAAAATGCCTTTGGCATTGCGCTGATGCCGAGATCCGTGACTCCATCTCGCCTAATCCCTAAAAAGCGCCTCGCCGTGTGCGACGCCAAGATCCGCGACTCTGGCTCGCCCGATCCCTAAACTTCCTCGGCCATGCGCCGTGATGCCGAGATCCGTGACTGCGACTGCCCGATCCCTAAATCGCCTCATCCCTAAACTACCTCGGCGACTCGCTCACTCGATGCCTAAACTACCTCGGTTGCGCCCGATGCAAGGAACTGCGACTCCATCTCGCCCGATCCCTACCTCGGCTCGCGCTGACGCCAGGATCCGCGAGTCTGTCTCGCTCAATCCCTAAAATGCCTCGGTTGCGCCCGATGCCATGATCCGCGAGTCCACCTCGCCCGATCCCTAAAACTGCCTCAGCTGCGCCCGACACCAAGATCCGTGAGTCCGTCTCACCCGATCCCTAAAAAACTGCCTCGGTTGCGCCCGACGCACACGCCCGCTAACAAAACCCCCCAGGCGATTCTGCCCGAATCGCCCAGGGGTTCGGGGCTACACCTGCTCGTGCGCACCCGCTGACAAAACAAAAAATCCCCCCGCTAGCAATGCGAAAAAAACCCCGAGACAATTCTACCCGAATCGCCCGGGGGCTTGGGGGCTCCAGTCGGGTTCATAAACCCGGGGTCCCTCATGGATCGGCTTCCCAGCAAAGGCTTGGCCCAGCACACAATATTGTGCAAACTCCTGGGCTGGCCCAAAAATTGAACAATACCCCAGAAGGGCGATCCAGTCTCTGACCGAAAGGCCTGGCCAAAGGAGGAATGGCGACCGCTTTTGACTCTGGCCCGCCTCTCCAACCGGAAGGGCTCGATTCTGACTCCGGCCCGCCTCTCCGACTGGAAGGCTTGGCCGAAGAAGACTAGCGCTCGCTTTCGACTCCGCCCACGCCTCCGACCGGAAGGCCTGGCCAAAGAGGAATGGCGCTCGCTTCCACTCTGACCCGCATCTCCGACCGGGGATGCATCGTACCTCTGCTTACAGCTCTTCTACGACTGGCGTAGTCGGAGCCGATTGGGGCCAACCGATCGGGGACGCCCACTCGGTGAGGACCAGGTAAACGGGCGGAGCAGGTAAAGCAGGACACTCGAGTCAAACTGCAATATCGAGGACCGTACCCTATACACCTGTAGGACAGTACCGACAGGGCATGTCAGAAGGATGCCCTGCAACCTTCCAGACATGTCAGAACCCAAGCAGTGTTATGGGCGCCGAAGTTTTACCCTACATTGTTATGGGCGCCATCAATTCCCATACCAGGCGAACACGGTAAGACTCCCCACATGCCTCTAGGCATCAACAGTGTTGTGGGCGCCGGCATTTATCGTATCTGGTGACCACGGTGAAAACCTCCCACATGCGTCTACATCAATAGTATTGTGGGCGCCTACAATCATGTTGTACCCGATGGCTTGGGCAATAAGACTTAGTAACATACGTACTCTCTCTCTTGTAAGGTCGTCCCCTTCATCTATAAAAGGGGATGTGCTCTCTCCCAACAAGGATGACTCTGGATCGATCAGTTCACTTACATCGATTCACCCTCTGCTAGCTTTAGACACTCTAAAGCTACAGGAGCGCACACTCGAACACTTAGCTTATAGCGAAGCTCCTGTCACTCTTGGCCCTTCAGACCAGAGTCCGACCGGGTCTCTTGCCCCCCTCTCTTTCTCCCTCTCGTTTGTAACCCCACTGTAAACTTCGAGCACCTGGGCTCAGGAATAAAGTCACCGATCGACTCAAACTAGACGTAGGGCACATTGCCTAAACCAGTATAAACCCTGTGTCATTGAGTGCTAGGCCACATCCGATCACAATGTACGGGAAAACTACAAATATTTACGTGTTGGTCACTTTCTGCACCGACTTGTTTCAACTTGAAATTATAGTATATAGCCTGATCCAATCCGATCCTTTAATTCGCACTATCCTAACCCACTCCTTATCCTTTTAGATTATACGGATCGATCAGTACTGACAACCCAAGGGCCGGCACATACTATATTCAAATGTACTAGCAAGCAAGCAAAACGTCAATCACCTTGGTCGCATGGCTTATAATCCGTATTTTTTCAGCGAACAAACAATATTTTTCTTTCATAATAAATCAACCAAAAATATTTCAGTCATGGCTTATCAGCCAAGCGAATACGACGAATAGTGACCATAATCCAAGGGCCGACACATATTATATTCAAATATACTAGCAAACAAGCAAAACGTCAATAGTGACCACGATCCGAGGGACGGCACATATACTAAAATACAATGGAATTTAACCATTTGACTGTAATAGTTCAAGATAACTGATAGACAATCAATAAATTAGATTACAATGGAATTAGAACAAGCAAACACAAAAGTTCTGAAGATTGACTGGCGAGTTGCTAGAAGAGGTACAAAATCATCATAGTACAAGCGAGTTGCTTAGTTTAAACATTTGAAGTGACTGTGCAGCCTAAACACCTGCAAATGAATCAAATATACACATGTAAGGGAAGAATATATATTTTCAACAATCTTACGGTACAAGGATTTCTACACCCCTTTCCAGTTCCCTCAGCTACAATAACAGATCAGCATAGCAAGCTAATCAGCACAACTATCACTAAGTTTTATGACATCAGACAAGACAAGGAAACTTGATATGCCGACTAACCAAACAAAGTCAGGGAGGCAAGCAAAAAACACTGGATGAGAATTCTAAATGGTAAGTACTTAGCTAGTGCCTTGTAAATTGTTTATCATTAGAATTGTACCTTGACAGATAAACGAAATATCTCCAGTGCACTAGAAAAAAGAAACAAACAAAGACTGTCGTGTGAGTACGAAAAGGTTGAGATCTGTGGATAAGTTATGACGTCCCTCTTGAGTCATGAACAGTGAGGCACTTTCCTTTTCCTTGCAATTTTCTATGTTATCTTGAGGAGGTTACTCAATTAAATAGCTGCACCACTGTGTCAAATAAACTGAATGCCTCCTAAATGTTGTGTCTCTTATGTATGAATTGTATGAAGCTCAAGGAAAGAATGATTCATTCTAAGAATATGGCAGTTGGAAGTATTTGCATTTCAAAAAGGAAAAAAGTTCAGAGTAACTGATTGGTAAAGATGGAAGTATTTGCCTACAAATAGAGTGCTCGCTGCAGCTTTCCTAGGCTGCAGGTGTGGCTGCAAACAAACAACTAAAACCTACTGTAGCTAAGTAGCTAATACGTGAAGCTAGAATCCACTTAGTCATATATTAATGCAGTGGCTGATTAGACCATAATCTAATACCAAAAAAATATGCAGTGAAGCATGGCTGATTCAAAGAAGTCAATTTCATATTCAGTGGCTGATCAACACATTTCTAGTGAACCAACAGCTAGTGCACTAACCTGTCAATCATCTACTTCATCTGATTCAAACATACGATGTCCGGTCATTGGTTCACCTACATTGAACAAGACAAACATATTAAACCACTATTGTAAACAAAACCGGCTTTGCAATATGTATCTTAAATATGATAATCACCTTCTTCTACATCATTAAAGCCAATCAACCAATCTTTCGCACAGACTAACGCTTCAAGAGTTTCCGGAGAGATGTCCTAATTTTGCCAAGTATCCTTCCAGCAGCACTAAAAACAGATTTTGAGGACACTATGCTAACATGAATAGACAAGAAGTCTCTAGCCATCAAAGACAAGATAGGATAGGCATCCGAGTTTTTCTTCCACCATGCTAGAACATTTAAGTTCTCTGTCGGTCTCACAACTACTCTAGGATCATCCAAATAAATATCCAATTCTAATCTTTCTGAGCGAGTACTCGAGTTTTATGATGAAAATTGAGCAAATGCAAACTCTACACGCCGTTTGCCACAAAGTCCAGAAGAACTCGAATCGCCCTGACTTAATACTTCCTCTTCATATGAAATGAAGACAGGATCGGTGTTGTTCCTCACAATCCTCTCATACTCTAGATAATATTTCTTCAAGTATTGCCTAAGCTCTCTCATCTTTGCTTCCGCTTCTGCATTCTCAACATTCATGTAAAAGAACCTGACAAAGTCAGCTTTCATGGATGGATCCAGGACAACAGCTATGAGAAGTATCATACTAGGCACATCCCAATATTTCTAAAACTTGGTATACATAGCTTCAGCCAACTCATTAAGCAGTTCATTGGTATTCCACGTCTCATCAAGCAATACATCTCGGACTGCCATCAACATCTTCAAAAAGAGGTGGGCTGTTGGATGCCTATCCACAGAAAATGCTTTTGTAGCCTCACTGAACTGTTCTAGAAATTCATGAAGCGATTCAGCTTTCTGCCAATCTTGTTCACTAGGAACATCTTGATATTGCTCAGCTGCGAATCTGTTGAGAGCTGCTTTATACTTCAGAGCTTCATTCAACATGTCATATGTAGCATTCCAACGGTGGGGAACATCTAGAACTAGCCCCAACTTGCCTTTGAGACATAATGCCTGAACGATTGAGTTAATGTTTGCATACGAGAAGGTGTAGATGTGACAACCTTGATAATGTCTCTTACCCTTCCAACTGCATTTGGTATGACTTTGTAATCCTGCTTGGACCATTATATTGAGCACATGAGCAGCACATCTGACATGTAGGTGTTCACCCTTAAAGAACATCTGAGCACCTAGAGCGGCACGCAAGTCTCTAATCGTTCAGTTGTTCACGCTTGCATTATCTAAAGTCACCGTGAACACACGATCAACTAAATCCCACTCCATCAAGCAAGCCGTGATGCCATCTTGCACAACAAATGAGTTATGGGGGAAAGAGATATGCTTGAATGCAATAATCTTCTTATGGAGCTCAAACTCTTCAACAATGTAATGAGCTGTAACTCCATGATACCCCAAATTTTTTTTACGACCACAAATCAGCAGTTAAACTGACATGGGACTTCAACTTTGTGATCTTTTGATGTAGCTATAATTTCTCTTCTTCATACAACATCAAACAGTCTGCACGAACAGTTTGTCGACCCACCACATTGAATGAAGGCTGAGCATAATTTATCATCTCTTTCCAAGCACGATCATCTGCTTTTCGAAATGCAACCTTAGCACTAAGGAAGTACTTTGCAATCAGACCTCTAAATACAACAGGATCAAATACAGAATTATCTCTATCAAACTTGTTCTTCAAAGTTGCTAAGAATCTGTCCCTGTCCTCTTGAGGGATATGATGACAATAATATCCAATATGCCTATTCAAGTGAGTTGTCCATTTCCCTGACACAGAAGACAATCGGAGCTTGCAATACTTGCAGACAACCTTCTCAATTCCATCAACGATTTCTGAGTCAACATAAGCCCAAACTTTAGCCCTCTTTTTCCCTGGCCGGCCTAACTGATCAGTGGAGATAGCATCAAGACTATCCTCAACTTCTGCTGCTGTTGCTGATGAAACCCTCTCCATAATATCAAACACTCAGACTAATCAATTAGAGTCCCCTAAACCAATGAATGACAATCAATTGATAGGATACTAAAGTAAGACGCAAAGAAGCTGAATTTCACAAAAAATTATAAGCCTAATTTGTTTTCATAATAATAGTACAGCTAACTGCAAAATGTTTGTAAATTTGTTTTCACGATTATTGTAGAGCTCACTGCAAACTAATGAGATTTTTTGTTCTAAAACATCCAAAAATGTATGGGTCAGGACAATGACAATGTAAGGAACAACGTTAAAAATGCAGCCTGTGACAGTTTCATCTACTGGTGAACTGATATGGATGGAGAACAATTCAAATTGTATTGCCCACTCCCTCTACATATAGCATGGATGGATGGATCAATTCCTATCAGTGCGCCTAGTATTTGCATAAAACTCAGTATATAACAACATGTTCGGGGTGAATTGATAGTAAAATCACTGCCGAAGTCCAAGAAAGTAAACAAGCCTTTTACCTGCTGTACACATATGTGTGTCAACCTGCACACACCAAAGCAGTACCAAATCAGCACTTGGAAACCCCCACGCAGCACCAAATGAGCACTTGGAATAGGAAATCTAGCTTCAGCAGAAACTTTGAAGGAAACGGAGGTGGGTACCTGCTTGATGAAAACGCACTAAATATGAATAATCTCAAACAAACACTGCTATATGACACAAAGTATATGGCAGAAAGGATCCAAAGCAGCAACCACAAAATCTGAATATAGTTAATCCAAGCAGTCAGATTTGCATCTAGTCTAGAACACTACTACAGGAATGGTTTCTAGGGGTGGCTGGTGAGGCTTTGTAGAGGCGGCTCGGCCAGCCGCCCCTACCATACCGTCTCTACAAATCATGCATTTGTAGGGACGGTTCAAAACCACCTTACAAATCGATTTATAGAGGCGGCTGGTGTTATCAGCCGTCCCTACAAATCGATTTATAGGGGCGGCTATAGTACCAGCCGCCCTATAATATCATTTTCTAGACTGAACCGCCCCTACAGTATATTTTTCACCAAAAAATTCAAATTTATAATTCAAATTCGACTAGAACATATATATGAATATATAATTTAAATCTGACCAGAACATATATAATTCAATGCCACAGGCTTATATATACCATACATGACACATCAAACTATACACATAGTAGTCAATTGCTAATTAGCAATTTCATATACATGAAGTAAGATCCGACTAAAGTATTTTACATTAGCTCATAGCTGACAGACAGGGAATTAGTGTACAGTATCCATTTAAACAAGAAACACAACCAAAACAAGCTCCACTAAATATCTGACTAAATTACCAGAAGGAAATTCCACTAAAGTAGTTGGCTTAGCTCTCAACCCATATATCTTGCATTGCTCATTCAAATATTTCACAAGCTCCTCAAGATCTTACTGTATCTTATTAGCCCGCTCCTATAAACAGAGGACAAAGGAGATCAAGATAGTGAATATGTAACACTTCAGGGCAACTTTGCCATTGATAGGACAAGAAATTTGTAAATTGAAATAAGGAATATCATAGCATTGTGGTAATGCTCTGAGACACATGATTCCCACAAATAGAAAACATGGATCCAACGATATGAGAAACAATATGTCAACTCAATGTGATGCTAGAAAAGAGAAAAATGTTAGTAAAGAATCCACCAGTATCCCCATACACACAGGTAAGGCTAATAATAAGGCAGAGTGGTGGCTTCCTCTACCTAATATGCCGAGTACTAAGCAATGTTGATAGCATCCGATGCCTTGAGGTCAAAACTAATAGTGTCTTGGTCATTCCCCATCTGGTGTCACGTTGCAATGCTTTTTTCAGACCAATGCATTAAAAAGGACAGTTTATGTGATATAATTTCCTTGGGAGTGCAGTTACCTTTGCAAGATATAATTAGTTGATAACTACAGTTTCCGTGTATCTGTTTTAAATCTAAATCTAAATGCTAATAAGACAAGGCCAGATTGTAATGATAGGTTCATAGGCACACAAATTAAGAAATGAATTATCAATCACAAAAGCTCCATAAAAGTGTTGTCAAATTAAGACAGAATTTACAACTTAAGAGAAAATCAAGAAAGTGTCACCTTGGATATTCTAAATACTATTCAGTAAACCATTCAAAGCACCAAGCAGAAATCGTGCAACTATTGACATCCACATTGACACTTAGACAAACACAACCCTAGGACATTAAAAAGAATTAGCTGAGACTCAAATATGTGCACATACCTCTCTAATTAGTGTCGACTGGTTGACTTAGGACCTACATGCCCATATTTTTTTACAAATCATCATCTACATCATTGTTGGTCACACATCAAAGTCAATGAAAAAAATTTAATAACAGAACCACTAGTCATAACCACTAGTTGACTGGTTGACTTAAAACTCACATGCCCCCATTCATATTAGTATACTATACAATTTTTCATATGTGGTTATACTAAAAATCCAAGGTGTATACAACATGCATCTCTTCTCATGGTTTTATAAGAGATAACAGAGACTTAATTAATGTGATAAATTTCAAGTATAACCATAATAATTGTCCTTCTTTTTTTTCTAGATTCCCAATTAGTGATTACAGGGCGCTAAGAATTTTAAATGGTGGATTAAAAACGCATTCCTTGGTACTAACTGATTCATGTCAACAGAACCAACATGTCTTTCCTCACGAAAATGAGCACATTATTATGGCAGCCTCATGAATAAAAGCTATCTTTTGGAAATAGCAGCCAACACAGGGGGTAGACGGTACATGTACTTCTTAATATTGCAATGAGGATCCAAGAGTAGTGGATAGTAAAAGAATCAAATAGGAAGAGGAATACATGTTAAATAGTACTTCTTATGGAGTTATTTTAGGCATGTTTCATCTAAAACCAGTGTACTGCTTTCACTAATGCAGATGAATTTTACATTATATGTAAATAGAATAGCCTAACATGCAGAAAAAATTACCTGTGCTTTGAATTGGCAGTGCCTGATAGGATCCCTTCTCCTGAATCAACGGACAGGGTATCCTATATACATGAAAATATCAATAGATGCACCATATATCAGAGCTAGTACAAAAATTGACCAGGAACAGTAAGGTAAAAAAACTTGCATAGTCCCCCACCGCAGCAGCAATAGGAGACCTGAGCAGCCATGGATCTAGCCACTCCTACCTGAGTGGACATGGATCTAACCGCAGAGTGGACATCGATCCCGCCTGAGTGGAAATGGATCTAACTGCAAGTTGGAGGAGTGGGTTCAAATCGCAACCACGTGGAGCAGCGACGCGCGGAGGACCTTCTTTTAATCCTCATCATAGCCCGCACCACCCCTTACGCCCTCGCCGTGGCTCCCGGCAACGACTTGTGAGTGCCTCCGGCACCAGCGGTGGTGGAGGAAGACGAGGTACCCACGCCCTCCGACGTGGGCGGCTCGACGACGGGCATGACATGAGCGGCGGCGATGTGAGCAACGGATCCGGGGAGGACGCCATGATGTAGTGGAAGCCCCACCTCCCCACCCTTCTAGATCTAGATCTAAGAGGGGAAAGGAGGGGGTTGTGGCCACACCGGTGGAGGGGTGGTGGCCGCGCCTGTAGAGGAGGGGATGGTGGCCACAACAGTGGAAGAGGAAGGGGCAGTGGCGTTATCGGAGGAAGAGAGGAGGGGGAGGCGACGGGAGATGGATGGGGTGGTGGCGTTGGAGAAAGAGAGGAGAGGGGGCGAGGGATAGACCGAGGGGGTGGAGGCAGATGCGGACTTGAGTTGCGAAGTCCACGGGCATGACATTTGTAGGGGCGGCTCATATTACCAACCGCCCATACTGTGACATTTGTTGGGGACGGCTGCTATGCTGGAGCCCGAGCACGCCACTGTAGGGGCTGCTCTAATGCCACCGCCCCTAAAAAAGCCCTTGCTATAAACTTTTTTCACGTAGTGGAATCTACAAATAACTAAAGCACGGGAAGCAATAGGGACAGAGAAGCAGCCGAGCCGACTTGTTCAGTGCCAAGAAGTCACCTCACCTCCATGCGGGCTCTCTGGTCGGCTAGAGACTTCTTGTTCTTCTTGCTATTGGAGGACAAGGAGGGCTGCTTCTTCTTGGACGGAGCGGGCGTGGAGACCTTGGCAGGCATGGCAGCGGAGAGGTGCGCTGCGTGCCGGAGGAAGGATCCTGGCAACGGATGGAGATGCGATGGGGCCTGAGGAATCACTGCTGCCGCCGCCGCCGCCGTCGCAGCCTCTCAGCTCCCGAGGACCCGCCTGGCCCCCCGCCCCTCGACTGCGACTCTACGAGGGAGACGCAAAGGGCAGAATCCGTTTCCAGGATCCTCGGGCCGACCCTCTTCCAACGATCCTTCCACCGACTCGGGCCATGTGTATAGCCCAACCCTTCTATGAGCCAATCCAGTCCAACTCGACCCTCTTGTATACATGGCCCATAGACGATCCGTAGAAGAGGCTTGTGAGTTGGGGGGTGGCCTTTCGGCCCTTGGGCTTACACGACCCATTCCCAGGTTTGCCCACTGACCATGGGACAGAGTATAGCAGAGTTGAGCGACCACTAGGCCCGGGGAAAACCCCACTCCATTCTAGTGGCCCAATCCGGCCCAACTTACAATATTGTTCAAGGTTCATGACCATTTCAATCAAACTGACTCATGTATAACCTATTATCAGCTATCAGCGGATGGATCCAACCACCTTTCTACTAAAATAATATCTAGCTAAAAAATAGCAGCTATTAGCTAGCTAATTTTTAGTGCTAATGGCTCCAAACAAACCCTAAGTACAAGCAAAATGGTTGTTTAGAGCAACTCCAGCAGAGGCACCTAAATCAGAGCCTCTACTTTCGATTTGGATGCTCCTCCTATTTTTGTTAGTCCAATATATGCTTTTTTTTTTCCACTCCAACAATAACATCCAAATTTGGATCCTCAGGTCCATTGCACTAGACACTGACATACAGGCCTTAGAAAACAAAACTTACATGTTGCTAGTTTCTACTTCGGCAGACGTACAGGATTTCTTGTATTTTGGTTCATTTCTGCACTGACTTGAAGTTTTCATTTCCGTGAACCAAATTATCGGAATTCCTCGAGCATTCTTGGCTTTTGTTGAAATTTTAGAGAGATATGCTCCTCTCTGTCGTTGGTCCTCACAATGCGGCATTTTCATGCTGGCAATCTCTACAAGGATAAAACACAAAAGTTGTAATGTGATTTCAAAACTTGCCAATGGAATTTCAGCCCGTACGATTCACTTACTCAGCATAAGAGCACTCTCAATACAGAAACTATCTACTGGTTTCTATGACACAAAAAAAAAAAAAAACTATCCATAGAAACTATGCTCCCCAATGCAGTATTTGCCAAATAAATCCCACCAATCGTTCACCTCTCCTCTTCCCGGTCCTCCAAATCCCGTGTGGCTTGTATAGCTGTGGCCGCGTGCGATGTCCTGTGGCAGCGCGCTAGGAAGCGATGGCACGCGACGTCCGGCGGCGGTCCTGTCGAGTGTGCTTGGGATATATCGGATGCGTAAATCAGATGCAACAATGCAAGCAAGGGATCGTGCCTGGCTTGTGAGTGTTCTTTTGCTTTTTGTTGCCTTGTTGGATCGATCGATCGGAAGGACTAGAGAGGACGATACAGGCAACAGCCGCCAGGAGCCGTACTGCAACTAAGTTCTCTCGATCTCCCTGGTTCGCCTTGCATTGGATGATTGGATCTCCCTGCGCACGAGGTCTGGCGGCAACGAGGTCCAGCAACGGGGCCGGCGAGGTGCTGCCGCCAACGCGTGAGGTCAGGTGGCCGTGCGTGGTCCGCTGCCGGCAACGCGCGAGCGAGGCGGACACACGAGGCTCCGAGGCGGCGGCTGCGCTCTCCACGGCGGCTCCAATTCGGCGGCATGCGAGGTCCACGGCGGTGTGCGGCGGCGCGCGAGGCTGGTGCAGGCTTCGTCGGCGAGGGTGGTGGCCTGCGCGCACGGGATCTGAACCAAGAGATGGAAACGATCCTTTCTCTCCCAACGCAGCTACCCGTAGTTTCTTCGTTCTCGATAACCTCGTAGACGTGAGTCTACGTTAGACTCGGTTTCTCGTTTTTCCCCTCTTTCTTCAATAAATATAATATCACATCAGAAAAATCAATAAACAGAGAGGTAATAAATAACCATAAAAACTATGATAGAGTCTACGTTAGGAGTGCCCTAGTCAATCAGCCTATGTGCTAAACGTCTATTTGGATCCATTAATGAGCACTAAAAATTATCAGCTAAAATTTATGCTAGTGGTGGACCCAAATGGACCTGCTAATAAACCCGCTAATTATTAGCTAGAAGGCTACTAATTATTAGTTATACTAATAGGTTTGTAGTTGCTAATAGTTTATACGTACCTTCAACTCACTATCGTCCAAAACGACCTATTAGAAGGACTAAAGGTGAACTAATTTTAAAACTAATTACATAAGCCGTGACTAAATGGCGAGATGAATCTATTAATTCTAATTAGCCCTTAATTACCCAAAGGTTACTGTAGCAACATATAGGCAAACCATAGTGCTAATTTTTACTATGATAATTCTAATTAGTCACCGTTTATATAATTAGTTTTAAAATTAGTTCATGTATGATCCTTCTAATTACCATCTAAACATGGTGCTAATTTTTAGTACTAAAGATCCAAAAGGCCTAATAGCTATTAGCAGGTCGATTCAAACGTCCTACCAAAAATAGCAGCTATTAGCTATTTGCTAGCTAATTTTTAGTGCTAATGGATCAAAATAGGCCTAAGTACAAGCAAAATGGTTGTTTTACGGGAGCTATGGTCAGCCTACAAGGGGAAGCAAATTAAAGCAATAGCATTCGGAGATCTACAAAAGGTCGCCACTGCATTTAATTTGTAGCAGCAGTTGCATAATAATATTATAAAATAAAATAGTGTATTTCCTTGTTTCAATAAAAATGCATATATTGTTTTCCAAGAAATCAAACTTTTTTATGTTTAATGAATACGAAAAGTACTAATATTTATAATGCGTAATAGAATTATCATAGTAATAGTGAAATATGCTGGTGTCGACGCTGGCGCTGGAGGTGCCGATGTCGATGCCGGCGGTGCTGGTAAGGCCAGGTGTGCGGTAAAGCTCGGCGGTATGGGATGCTGGTGAAGGTGACCGTCGGTTGTCCTGCCGGAATTGCATCTACAAAGATGTGAAATCCTACAGGGTGTTGCCGACGTCTGCCAGCCATGGAGCTCCCAAGATGATGTCGCGATGTCGTCACCGATGGGGAGGAGGAAGGCATCAATCTGGAACGTCTTACCATTGATGCGTAGCGGGACGGTGAAGCAGGCTCCCCGGCAGGCGAGTTCCATGCCGTTCCCAACAAGCACGGTGGTGTTGATGCGACGTTCGTTGAGGCCGATGATACGGGCGGTGCTGGAGTCGATGACGTTGTGGGCGGCGTCGGTGTCGACGAGGATCCGGACGGCCGAGGATAGCTCCAGCCAAGAGCATGGTGCGTCCTCCTCGCACCCCTGAGTTCGGGGCGCCTGTGAGCATCAACAAGCAGGGCTTGATGTTGGTGTAGTCGCCATCGTCGTTGTCGCTGTCGTTGATGGTCAGCGGCGATGGCCATGGAGTCGTTGGAGCGGTGTCGGTGCTGCTCCTCGGTGGCTCTATAGATAGGGAAGCTGTGGTGAACAGCTTGCTTGCTACGGTGTCCACTAGCTCGAGAGGCACGGTAGTGGTGGTCGTCTCTTGCTTGCGCTTGAGAAACGTGCGGCTAGCGTCCTCCATGACATGCTTGGTCTCCTCCTCAAGCTCATTGGCTGTGGCCTCACGTGCCTGAGGACAGCGTTGGTGCTCAATGTTGGCGAGGCGGAGGTCGAGCTTGACGAGTTTCGTGTTGAGCTCATCACTACGTGAAAAATGGTTTATAGCAACGGGACAAATTTTTTGTAGGGGCGGCTAGTGATGTAGCCGCCCCTACAGTAGTGTGCTCGGGACCCACGAGACCAGCCGCCCCTACAAATGGCACAGTAGGGGCGGCTGGTGATACGAGCCGCCCTTACAAATGGGTCGATTTGTAGGGGCGGCTCATTCACCAGCCGCCTCTGGTGTTGCTATTTGTAGGGGCGGCTCAATCACAAGCCGCCCCTACAAATATTTAAACCTCATTTAAAAAAAAGAATCGTGTGTGTGGGTTTGCTTACGGACGACGTTGTTTTGTTTCGGTGTAGACAACCAGACATCAGCACATTCGGCTGGTATAAAAAACCAGCGGCAGGTAACTGTTGCTGGTACGGCCTACAGTACCTTGTGTGGGAGAAGCAGCCAGCCGAGTACCAGCCGAACACGCCGCCTACAGTACCTTGTGTGGTTGAAATGTTGCTGGTGTGACATCGCTAGTTGGAAACAGCAAGCACGTCGGTGAAGGATGTCGACATCCTACATCCATACCTCCCTCGGATGCTCCGCGTCACAGCGCCAACAACACAAATGGGCCCACCTCCCTCACATGCTTCCAGATGAGGATGTCGACATTCTAGAGCCAGGCGCCGCCTAGGATTTTTTAATCCGGCGCTGGCGGTCCAGCTACCGCGTGAGCGCGCGCTCCGTTTCCAAAATCCCGTGGCGCCGTCCACAATTTCTCCAATCCAGCACTTGCCCCACTATGCAGCTACCGCACGAGCGCGCGCTCAACTTCCAAATCCCTTGTCCAAAATTATGATGCCGTCCGAGCGTGCCGGGGCCTTTAAGAAGAGACCCACAGTTTCTTCCCCAACCACGCCGACGCCACTACACCAGGCGAAGCTCTGCCGGGTTTGAACCTCACCGCCGCAGCTGCCGGGAGGAGCTCGGTCGCAACGGTGGCTCGCCACCGCTGCCATCGTCGACCGTGCAGCCAGGAGGAGCTCGATCGCAGTGATAGACCGAGCCATTGCCGTTCATCTTCTCCAACTCCAGTGTCGTCGCCATCCTCTCCAAGTGTCAATGCGGGACCCATGGGGTTTCCCACGGAGAAAAGAGAAGAAGACCTAGTCCAACTAGGATTCCCTACATGTAATCCTACTAGAACTAGTTACACGTAATCCTACTAGGATCTCTACTTTGTAACCGACTAGGACTCC